GACATTACCCCGCAGATAAATCAGCACCAAACACACTTCAAACAGGCAAACCGACTAGGAGATGGCAGCAGACGCGCCAATCGTGTCGGCTGTAAAATCTCAAGCCAAGCACAAGGCCGGTCACTTGGACTCCACCCGGGAAGGCAAGATAGCATTGAGTTGGGTCGTCAGTGACTTCATTTCTTGTTCCCAAGTCAAATTTCGTCCACCTCGAACACTGTGCCACCCTATATTTGGTAGACTAAATCAGGTACCCCTAGATGAGCGGTGACCAGACATACATAGTACGTGCTTTAGCCAAGTTCAGTGCTTTCCGTTGTTCTAAGAAACTGGCTTGGTTATCATTGCCAAGCACACCTTCGTAAAACATCATTGCAGACACGTTGGTGCTCCCCAGACAACGATGATCAAGGACTTGATCGCGCCTCAGATCATCAGACGGGAGGGGCCAAGTCTCATTCCCATAGAGCAGGACTTCCCTCACTGTGACCTTTCAAACGGAGGGAAAATTCCTTCTGTTCCCGAAGACGTCGCAGCTTCAAAAAGACAGGCTGTTGGCTGTTGCAATACGTGAACTAACAAGCTACTGTGCGTTTAGTGTTCCTGATGCAGCTGCCAAGGTAAGTGAATCGGTCAACTACCTCGAGTTCCTCGTTATCAAGGTCATCAAGTGACTGGTGGTTCTGCAGCAAAGCTATGAGGCGATTCAGGGTTGACTGAACCACCTCAACATCGTCAAAAAGCCAGACGATATCGTCCGCATAAGCAAGATCAACTAACCTTTCATCAGGCAGGACATCAACGTCGACATGGTGAGATTCCACAAGGGAACACTTCATGACGGGGTCTACGACGGATTTGAACAAACATGGGGAAAGCGGACAACCCTGACGAACGCCAATTTTTGTCGGAAAGCTATCGGTTAGGCTACCGTAGACGCTGACACGGCATGGTGTTCGAGTACAGAGTACGTAAAATGTTCACATATTTCGAGGGAACACCTTACGCGCAATTATTTCGAACAGAATGCATCGATCTACCGAATCAAACGCACGCTTGAAATCGAGCAACACAGCTATTGTCGGTCCGAGGTATGCGTCGCGCTGCACTAGCAACTGCCGCAGAGTGAATATATGGTCTACACAGCCACGCCCACGACAGAAACCTGCTTGCACTTTCCTAATCCGGGATTGCTCTTTCGCAGTCAGGCGACGAACGAGAATCCAGGTCAATAATGTTGTAACAAGTGGCCTAAGGTTAATGCCCCTGTGGTTAACAAAGTCGGTGCCACTGCCCTTCTTGTATACTGCCACTATAATCAATGTACTCCAGTTAGCCGGGACACATATTTCCATATATGTTCGCATAGGGGGAACAGTGCTTTGCAGAGGACCGGGCCAACAACAAGAAAATGATGGATGACTGTGATCGCGTTTCGGGACCACAGCCTTCAATAGAGCTTCCAGACTAGCAGTCCATGGGTCGCCCTGCATCACCTGGGTAGGAAGATGTCCGATAGCAAGGGGGACAACTGAACTGATATTGAGTGTTCCGCCCAATGAACCAAACTGCGCTCATTGTGAATCAGTGCACCCGCACTGCCTCTAACTGTCTCACTGACGCCTGGTTACCTGGGACCTGTGGAGCGGATCAGCTGGAAGAGCTTGCGGTAATTGCCTGCTGCTCCTGCCTCCTCCATTTCTTAAGCCTGACTGGTGCACCAGGCTGCCTTGTCAGCATGCAGGCTCCTCTTTTATTGCTGCCTAATAGTCCGTCTAGTCACATTGTGCTCGGAGCCAGAAGGGAGCTTTCTTCTCTAATTCAACAGGTTACCCTATCTCGGGATATCCAGTGACTGGTGCGGTGACGATTGACAGTGCCGTAAGCAGAGGCTCCTACGTCGAGCATGGCGGCCGAGATCCTATTCCAGTGAAGCTCAGTGTCATTAGGACAAGGCTGCAAACGTTCGGTACGCAGTGCGTTTTGATAGCCTTGCCGGACCGAGTTGACAATCGAGGCGCTCAGTGCGTCTCCAAGTAAAGTTCATGGATAAGCTGCAGAGTACCAAAATATGATCAGAGTTGATACAAGTACTCCAGAAAGAGCGTCAATTGAAGATGGAACCCCGCCATCTGTAACTATTGGCAATGTGATAAATGTGGGTCCATCGATGGTCAGCTACAAGAGGACGCCTGTCGTGTTGCCCTCCGGGAAGCAAAAATACAGGGCCAGGATCACGAAGACGTTTATTAAGATTACGCTCGAATATTTATAGAGTATATACACTATTTACAACAGGCCGTTTCAATGGCTCATCTCTGTTATTTCAACTGTGTCACTGGCTCCCTTTCCCTTGGTTTATGTTTGTTCGCCAAGTTCACTCTGTCTAAAATCACATTGACTTCCTTAGTGGATGTACGATTGGCGGGATGGGGTCAGCGAGCTTCTTCCTTCGGTCCAATGCCACAAGCCTTGGCTCCAGGGTAAACGAGTATGCGCTCCTTCGCCTGCTGGCGCCTGAATGGTCACCTGCACATTCAGTGAATGGTCGCAAGCTGGACGCGATCACGGGCCAACTAATTCCTGATTGGCTGACCCATCTGCTTCCGGCAACATGCTCACTCTCTATCGGTCTGGCCTGTGACGTTCGATCAGCATTACAGCATTTCCAATCACCAGTATTTCCAGCCCCATCTCAACGCCAAATTTGCACTTCGGCGCCCACTGTGTCGAAAAGCGGTGCTACTAAGAAACAGCTAGTGCTCTGCGCACAGTTGCAACAGACGCTCGGCGTTGTCAGTCCGTTCGGAGTTAAGCCCATAATTATCACCTAGCGAAGGTACATGTGCGTTCATATTTCATGCAAAGATTATGATATCTGAACTAGTAGCACAGCGTAGTTGTGCGTTCAGTTAGTGATAGGATGTGTCCTTGGGATGATCAGATCTGCAGTCGATGGGATCACAAGCGAAAATTGCAAACGGCGTTTTGAACTAATTCGCGAAACAACGTCAGTTGATGTCGTCAAACGGGCTGTACACAAATGGCTGTTCAGCGGAATCCAATCAAGCAACAATGTTTCAGCCTTGAAGCTTAGAATGATACCTCCACCAGTTTCACTCGTGAGTGTTGCATCGGCGTCTCCGGATGTGTGCAACCAACAGCGAGAGGCCTTGCCCGGGGGCAGTTAATCCAACAACCCCATTAGGGTCGATGAGCCTAGCTTCGGACACACAACGCACATCAATACCCAGTGTGTCTAAGGTGCGTGCGAGTGCAGCCTATTGACCTATTTGTCTTAGTGGGAACGTTGTACGCCGACACGGAAACGTGACAGCGTTACCTTCTAAGGGGCTGTGGCCGATAGGCGTCCGGTGGGTGTTGCGGGAAGATGGCTACAGACGGTTCTACTCCAGTAGCAGTACGGTTGCTGTCAATAAAGTTGGGAATTATAGAAGGTAAGTTAGTAATGGGGATTATGAAGGGAGTAACAGAAGCAGCTGAAAGAGAAAGGCGCCAACAGTAGCACGTTTTCGCCTACCGTCCTGCTGTATGCAGCAAAGCAGCGGGGTTGTGGCAGCTATTTATACTTACAGAAATGAACGCCATCCCATTTCAAAACCCCAACTTGGAGGACCATGAGACTGAGTTTGTCTGACCTCTAAACATTGACCAACCTAGACGGTGTAAAGCTCCATCCACACACACCATAACCAGTGTCAACTCGAAGGAATAAAACCTAGAAGCATGAGGATGGGAGCCAGATTTCATCAACGGAGCCGACCCACACGCCTTCACAGGCAATCACAAGGACGCTGTAATAAGCGCACACCAGGCGGTGGCTGAGCCGTAGACCGCACCAATCTGATTGCATGGAACCACTCTTCGAGTCTAGCAAGGCCACGAGGACCGTGCACCCCAGCAACGACCAACTGTCTCCTGGAGTCAGTATAGACTTCGTGGTGGGTAAGAGACAGGTAGGCACCTTGTCACCATGTACATCAAGCGCGGCCACAACGTGGATATTAAACAACAGTCAATCAGTTGGAATGACACTAAGAAATAACATATATCGAATAAAGCATACGGAAATGATTATGTATCTCTACGCTGAGCATATGGAATAAAACGGTTACCAACAAATAAGCCACAGGTTCAAGATGTCAGAAAATATATATGTTCAAAAGAATAATGCCGCAAACGCGGAAATGATAACGAAGTTAACCGCTATAAGCTTAGGCGACCAGTGCAAGTTAACAGATTAATCAGGTAGACATTAAAATGAGGTAAGAACATAAGATTAGAACAAGAAGCAAACCCACCACCTGAAATAACGAAAATCAGAAAGCAAACACACGTTTAGTAAATCGAATGCGGCGTACCTATCAACGCTGCGCCGGTTCTGCTTACGTTCTTAGCAGGACCCGTTGTCGTTTCAGTGCTGGCTCCGAGTGGCCTCGCTCGTGGCTCACGGGGCCTGCCTGAGTCCGACACTCGCGACCGCAAGTGATACAGCACCATACGCTCGACGTCGATAGAGTACACCCCATCTGTACCTGCAGGTTGTGCACCTGCCGCTTCTTCTAAGCATGCATGAGGGCTCTCTCCTGCACCACGGAAACTGCCTTCGTGATCAGATGGCGTCATGCACGCCGAGTAGTCAACTTCGGTTCCCATGAGCTGAAATCAACGTTAGAACGTGATAGGCTCACTTTGATCATGACCGGGTAACGAAGGCTCGGTTTCTCCGCGTGCCGTTTCCCCACACTCATCTGACCATATAACAGCTGCTTCGATATCCGCGACGAATCCAAACGGCCCACATGACCGAGCCACCTCAAGTGTCTCAGCAAAAATATGCAGTCCACTGCATATATTCCACTTCGGCGCAAAACGTTCGTGGCTGCAACTCTGCCGCATCAGCCGTTGCGCAGAATCCATCGCAGACACTGCAGGTGAAATCGCTCGAGGTATCTCACATCTTGACGGTAAATCGTCCACGTTCCGCTGCCGCAGATAATAACAGACAGCACCATGGATCTGATCCCCATCAAGTTCGTGCCAACGGTAAGCAGGTGATTGTTCCACTCTCAGTCCTCAAGCTTCCGAATGCGGCAGCTACTTCGATACGCGGATACGAAGCACACTGGGCAACTGCTGGTGAGTGGAAACGACACGTCCAAGGTAGTTTCCAATATTTCATCACCAATGCTGATTTGCGGTACCATTGCTGGTTGCATCTCCTGTGAAGGCATGCACTAGTACACAAACATATATAACACCATACATACTATATATGTACGCATGCTTATATATACCAAGAGAGAGTGCTAGAGGGATGGATAGTTGAGATAGAGACGGAGAAAGTCAAACGGATTTATTCATTCGCTACATTACAGAATTGGTCAATCAGTAGATAAGGATGCACCTAGGCTGTGGGTACAACCCAACGAGGTGTTAATCTAAGCAGGTTTGATTCCACCGAAGCCAGATTGTTAGGGGAACAGTGCGAGGCACAGTCCAAATGGTCTGATCAATGACACAATGTAAGCAAAACAAATCAAGCTAAACTGATGGCATTAATTGCAATCTCACTCGAATGCACAGATTTCAGGTGTTGTCGTAGATTCCCCTTCTCCGCAAACGATTTACCACAATGTTCACATGTATGAGGTCGTTGCTCTGGAGAAGGAAATCGAAACGGAATAGTTACCCATGAACCGAACAAGAAAAACTGACAAAGAATAGCGAATTAATGGATGCGTCCAGATGGCAATATGATGGAGACCTATTGACAGACACTAAATCCAGGGATTTGCCATATATACAGTGCAAAAGGATCTCGTAAAACGAATGTACCCTCAGTAATAGGGATTGTATCCTAAGAGCCAGTAAGAACTGTAGAACCCAATATTCATGTTCGTCCATACCACTTCAAGAGTTTCAATGGAACGACACCACTAATCAGTAGACAACATAACGCAGCCGGAGAGCTACACCTGCTGCGACGTGTCGCAATCTGATGGGTTCGCACTCCACTGGTCAATATCTTCCCCGCTTGTACGCAACGTTCTATCGTGACTGGCTATTCCACTTCCATACTTCTCTCTGTTCCCATCCACTTCGAATTGCTAAGCAAAACTTTTGGTGTTATCACCAACGTCGCGCCGGGCCGCTCTGACAGGCTGATCGAAATAAGCTATCTGCTCTGATTGACCGATCAAGAAGGCAAGGTTGCAGGCATTGATTTCATGGCCACCAGACAGGAGACAATTGCTTAACGCAAACTACCGATATCAAGATGATCTTGAACGATCTTTGCTGTATTCTATACTTTGCTTAGAAATAATAGTTTTAGATAGACCGAGAAAATTCGTTTGATCAGCCGGTGCGATTATTCTCCTTGATTTAAGGAAAAAGGTTGAAATTTAGTAAATATAGGGTTGATTAATATGTTCCTTAGGAAGTGTTCCTCAAAACATCATCCTTTTTGAAGTCCAACGAGCAATGATTTTGGTTGGGTTTATCAGGAGTGATGTGATAGGGTCTCGGACACGATGAAACCATATTCTGCACCGACAGTCAGGTACAGGAGAGATTAGTGGAATGATAGACTTACCTTGCTGAGTAGCCTCTGTCGTTAGCAGTTTGAACTCATCCAGAAGTATCTAAAGAAGCCAGGTTAGAGCACTTGCTCTTCTGTCGAATGAGGTGTAGCTCCCGAGCTGGTTGATGTGGTGAACTTATCTGTCAGTGCTTGCAGCCAATTCAAAACAGACATGGCGATGTCCTTTTATAGCCAATGCAGGGATTATGTTGTCCAAATACTCCTTTCGCAACACGCATTGTCCAAAGTAGAAATATCGCGGAACAGTGTGATGTCGGTTGTACTGATGCTCCATTATCCAGTTTCGATGGAACCGACACGCTACAACACCGACATTCCGGCGTTCAGCGAGACCCGGCTCGCTGAGCAGGGTAAGTTGCATAAAGCTGGTGCTGGCTACACATGCTACTGGGTGGAAACGCCACCACAGCACCACGTGAACATTGGATCGGATTTGCACTATTTGATTGCCTAAATGGTCAGCTTGTATGTGACCTCAATGGTAGTAGCGCGCGACTGAGTACTGATCGACTATGACTCGGAAGAAGTCAGTTTGGCACTTCTATAAGCACCTGCGATCGGACCATGAGCTATCCTGATGACACGCGTGAGCAGTTCTACACACAGTTGTCCTCCGTGTTACGGTCTGTGCTGAGGAGCGACCAACTATTTCGGCCAGATGATTTCAACGCGCGTGTTGGGTGTGATGCATCGGTCCGCATTGGCTCAGCGAATGCGAACGGTGACAGGCTGCTCTCACTGTGTGCCACTCATGGCGTGACGATCACGAGCACTCGGTTTGACTGAGTGAGAGGGATATGGTGACGCTAGGAGTGTTCACGCTCACCTGGTCGACCATGGCATCGTACGTCAGCGTGACACGCGCACGACACGTGTACTGCGTGGAGCTGCGTGTGACACTGAGCACAAATTGGCACAGACCAAATTGTACATGTGTGTGCGGCAAAGTACGTACAGTGCGCCTGCAGTGAATCAGAGGCGTAAATTTAACATTCTCTCCCTAAGTAATGCGGATAAACGTATTGAACTGGAGAGGGCGGTGGGTGCACGCCTGCGTGATATGCAGTGGATAAACACAGTGGGCGACTTGTGGCACCACATTCGCAACCAGGTAACAGCTGCTACCGAGGAGACCATCGGGCGCGCAAACTATAAGCGACCTGATTGGTTTGATGAGAACAATGTGACGAGTAGCGCATTGGTGTCGGAGAAGAATGCAGCATTTGCTGCACATGTGGCACACCCCAGTGATTGGAGGAAGAAGAGTCAGTTTCGCAGAAATCGACGGCGACTGACTCGCGAGTTCCGTTGCATTAAAAATGCATGGTGGACGAAGAAGGCGAAGCAGATGGAATGCTATACCGAACGCCACCAACACAAGAAATTTCTTCCCTCCTAGAAAGCGGTGTATGGGCCGAGATTGGAGCCGCTGAGCACGCTGATCGATGGCAGTTCAGAAGCTACCTGCACACAGATTACAGACATAAAGCAGATCTGGCAAAAACACTTCGAATGTCTCTTGAACAACAGTTCTGAGATCGACTGGCCTACTACGAATGACCTGAAGCAGCGCGATGTGAAGGCGAGTCTGGTGGACACGCCAACACTGGATGAGACGCAGAGGGCACTTGTTCAGCTGCGAAACGGCAAGTGTGCCGGTGCCGATGGGATCCTGCCTGAAGTATTGCAACACGGTGGACCCGCGTTGTTAACTGCGCTGCACCACTTGGTGCAACGCGTATGGATTGAAGAGAAGATGCCTGCTGAGCTGAAGGATGCCCTTGTGCTACAACTGTATAATGGTAAAGGTAGCAAGCACTGTTGCACGAATTATCGTGGCATCAACTTGCCGAGTTGTGTCGGCAAGATGATTGCCCGAATCCTGTTGTGGAACCGAACGTGGTGGAAGAGCAGTGTGGATTCCGTTCGGGTCGCAGCACTATAGATATGGTGTTTGCGGCTCGTCAGTTGCAAGAGAAGTGCAGAGAACGACACCAGCCGTTGTACACACTTTTTGTTGCTTTCACCAAGGCATTTGATACGGTAAACCGCGAGGCATTGTGGCTGGTGTTGGGCAAGTTTGGCTGCCCGCGTAAGTTTGTAAGTTTAATAGAATATCTGCACAGTGATATGCGGGCGAGGGTGCAGCTGAGTGGAGACCTCGGATGACATTGCAGTTGTCCCTTTTGTGAAACAAGGCTGCCCAGTTTAATATATATCTTCATGCAATGATGTCTTGTGCTTTTGATGCCGCTTGTGTTTGCGGTGTTCGTGTGGAGCACCGTATTGATGGTGGGTTGCTGAACATCCGCCGTTTCGGTGCGAGAAATCTAGTGTGTGAGAAAACTACCCGTATTTTGCTGTTTGCTGACGACTGTGCATTGTTTGCACACAGCGCGGATGAGTTGCAGCACATGACCAGTGCTCTGGCTTCGACAGTGGCCAAATTCGAGCTCAACATCAACCAAAGCGTCGGAATAATTTTAGACCTACGATCTCAAACTTGAAGCGACTTACGAACTTCTATCTGGAGAAGACAACGAGAACGCTTTCGCAACTTATAGTGATGGAGGACGGGCGTGTAGCGATCACCAATCAACTCTCGTTGGTGTGCCGGATCAAGTTCATCAAATTCTGTAAGACTGTCGTCGACAGAACGAAAAGGAAACTTTTGAAGGCACAACAAAGATCTCTCGAGAACGCCGATGAGGAATCCATTTTTAATGATGACTTACAGAAGCATGTACATAACTTCTCCTCCATACCTTTGAACAGAAAGCAGATGGAAGCTCTCTCACTGGGTCTGAACTACAAAGTCCCTCCAAGGAAAGTTGATCGATTCCATTTGGAAGCACAATACGAACATTTGATTGAGCAACCATTGAAACTTAACCCAACGACACCAGAAAACTACAACCGGCTTAAAGTAAAGCTTGTCGATATTGCAAGTGGCTTCATGAAGGCGCCGATTCGCCAAACTTGCATTCTAGACAAGCACCACATCAAAGAACTAAGCTATCTGAAATCCAAAAATGTGATAGTTCTGAAGCCGGACAAAGGTACCGGAATCGTCATCATGGACAAGTCAGATCACATAAACAAGATGAATGAGATACTTAGTGATAAAAGCAGGTTTCAAAAGGACAATAGTAGAGCCGACGTAACCAACATCGAAAAGTCGGTAGCCAGCAGGCTGAAAATATTGCTGCACCACGGAATGATTACAAAACAATGTACAACACACTTAAACCAACGGGCACTTAGAACCCACAAATGTATAGCTTACCGAAAACCCACAAGGCTAGCATGCCTCTTAGACCGATATTGTCCATGAACAATTCTCCGTATCACAAATTCGCCAGGTGGTTAGTTAGGATACTAGCGCCAGTCAGACAAATGATCGTGAGACACTGTCAAAGACACCTTCGAATTGATCGGACATGCACAAAGTCTAAACATAGCAGACAAAGTAATGTGTTCACTGGATGTTCAATCACCTTTTAATAATGTCCCATTAAGAGAGACGGTGAAATATCTGGGCGATTTCGTAAGGAATAGAAAAGTGGCATTGCCGGTACCCGTCGAATATCTAAACGAGTTAATTCTGTTATGCACAGAGAATGTACATTTCTTATTGGAAAGTGAGTTCTACCGACAAGTGGACGGCATTGCAATGGGAAGTCCACTCGGTCCCACGCTAGCAAACATCTGCATGTCAATGGTTGAAGCACGCTGTGACTCACACCTCGACCAGATGTGTCTTTACAAGCGGTACGTTGACGATACGCTAGTGATCGCCCCTAACATCAATGCCGCCCAACGTCTTCTAGAGGTGATGAACAATGCACACCCGAAGGCTCATTTTACATGTGAGTTAGAGAACAATAACTGTGGGCCCTTTTTGGACGTACTTTTGTCTAGGACTGATGACGGCTCGATACGACGTTCTGACTACCGAAAAGCCACTTGGACGCGACTTTACGAGAACTTCAGCAGCTTCACACCGGTCCGGTACAAATGTTGACTCGTCGAAACGCTGTTCCAACGAGTTCGCAAAATATGCGGACCTGAATGTGTCGAAACTGAATTACAGTTCATCACACATACGTGGAGGCAAATGGCAACCCGACAGTGTTTACTAAGTTTCAGGGTCGCGCGACGGAAGCGAAGAAATAAAAGCCCCTTATAGTGTCAAAAATTACAGAAGAGTAGTAGGGGGAGTTGAATGGTATAGGTAGAATTTCGTCACATCTAGGCTCACTCAGACAGCCGCCACAAGCCCGGAAAAGCACTGTACGCGCGTACAGTGCTTTTCCGGGCTTGTGGCGGCTGTCTGAGTGAGCCTAGATGTGACGAAATTCTACCTATAGTGTCAAAAATGTCCGTCTATCTCCACTTGCCATTCAAAATGGGATGATGTGGCTACGCAAGTCGAGCGGCGTGTTGCCGCAGCAATTCGACGTACATACAGTGCTGTAAAACGGCCCAATTGGGACAACCATTAAGTTACTAATGCCTCCATTTAAGCATATGCAGTCGGTCTCCGCCACAACGCATTGCGTTTAAAACTTTGTTTGTAACTGTGGAAACAGTTACATCGGCAGAACAAACCGAGGTCTGCGCCAGCGGATCGGTGAGCACATACCGAAATGGGGTGCTACAAGTGTGGCAAAAATAATCGTCGGACCAAGAATCAAGATCCAAATTACCGGCCTCTTCAAGAACCAGACATCTACTTGAAACGGGGCACCAAACTGATTCCAACTTGGCGTTTAGGGTAATCTATCGTAATGAAAACGCGAAGATATTCAAGCTCGCGGAGGCTGTGGCAAATAATCACAGCCGTCCGGACCTATGTGTGCAAAAACAATTGACTGTCTCCTGCAAGCTTTCTTGGGGATAGTGACCATAATCTCAAACATGATTCTGTTGGAGTTTCTACCCTTATGTTTCTTCAATACCCATTCGGACACCATTTAAATCATTGGTTTCCCCTTTCGTGATCGTTACATGTTGCTCATTTACATGTGATAAGGAAGCGCAAAATGATTTCATCGCGCAACACTCGTCTTCTTATTATATTCTTTAGACTGATACAGGGAACCCAGTGCTCCAAGCAAAATTGTCTATCACTTTTAGCCTTCAACGGAAGTGTAATCAGCAATGGTGCCGTAGTTAATTTCATCAGGGAAAGGGTAATGTTATCCGTCTAAAACATTCACGTTGTCACAGAATTGCAATTTTCCTCTGATTTACATTCTTTTATTATTGGAACTTCGCCCGCTCAACACAGCACATGATCTAGCGTCAATGATCATGCGAACATCGAAAACATTCGACCTACATTCAATAGCGTGGCCTAAGCGTTCAAGGACATGATAATGGAGGAAACACGTTATCTCACACAATCACAAAGGAACATTCGTGTGTGACATCACGATGCACAACACATAATCGGGTGACCGCGAAACCGGCCCACAAGTCTCCATCTACGCCCCCATTGTTATCCGTCGTCGGATGCAACCGTGAACCGAACCTTGCATGGACGCACGGATATCACACATAAACACGTTTTGTAATTGCAGCAGTGCCCAACAAATGTATTCTCAAGCAGTAACGAAATACACGCACAACTTTTTCTCCATCCCATCTGTTCACACAATGCCTATCTTCCAACTTCGCATTGGGATTGTCCATGGATTGTTTCAAAGTCAATCAGTCTGACTTATCTTCTGCGTAGCTGAATTGTCGGACTGAACGAACACGGATGAACATCGCATACACGGTGTACCACAGTAAAAAGAGTTGAAGTGGTTGGTTAAACTCCAAAGAACACACGAAAAACGAAAATGCCTGATACTAAGGAGTCAACACTGGTGAAGAAGAAGAAGAAGAAGATAGGAGTTGGAACATACTTCCTCCTCGTAAACGACGCAAGTCAGTGAAACAATAGCTCAGTGGAAGTGCAGCCGATGAATTCTGCTTAAACCAATAATTCACTGATGGGATGCATAAACCCCCAACAACCTACACACCCGGTGTGAGTGACCTGGAATGCTGATGGAAAGCGTCACTCAGTGTAGTTCAATAGCACTGCGGAACCGCACGGACTGGTACGGCGAAACTGACGCGGACGCGCGCCATGGCAGGCAAAGTGCGGCTGCGTGTATATCAATGTGCACTGGCGCACGACAGCAATAGCGACATTGACTGTAAGGGTGGGACCAAAATCCACCATGACTTGGGATGGTGGGCTTCTCGCGGTAGGTGGTGTGCCAAGACAAACAATTACAATGCGCCACTTGTGTAACGAAACCAGAGAGCTTACGTAACCCGATTTCAAACATGTACGCCACCGATGACTACATGCATTACATAGCACATCTCGTGTTGAGCGGTGTACAAGAACACACCAACTGAGATAAAACATGACGGACAGATTCACACCATGCTGAAGTGCAACCTAACGGTGTGCTCAACCTTATAGAATCACTTCCAAGTGACCGTGTAGTATTGTGGTTGTGTAAGGGGAAGGCATCAACCGGAAAACCTTGGAAATTTCGCAGAGTTAAGGTGGGAAAAGCGACAACCACGTAAATCAATTGGAAGTGCGCGTCGACACCCCCTTTCTGAGCTGGAAGGTAATGAAGGCACACATTGCGTGTCGTAGTTTATCGCTGAACACATAGACCAATGAATAATCGGTTCGCACTAAAATGGCTCACATAAGAAAGACACATTAACGATAAGACAAAGAGATAAACTAACTACATCTATCATTCATCATCACTGGGTCCGCAAAATCCACCAGATATCCAGGATATCACTATCGATCCGACGCGTTCATATTCCCATGTATGAGACCATAGTAATTGTACCTGGATAACACGTTGTGAGATTGAGCAACTGCGCAGTTAACGCACTTCATGCAAACATTTTCTAAAGACATATTGAATTAACGCAAGCAGAGCGGAGCTCACCAAGATAACAAAATGACTCATTAAGAACTCATCAAAAAACTTCATTAGGAGTGAACACGTTCCAAGACTCAACCACTCTGCATTCAACTGGAAGGTAAAAAGAATCACGTTCGTACCTCAAAGAAGCCGCTAAGAACTCACATGGTGGTAGATTATTAAGCCAGTGCATTACAGCAATTGTGCAGCAGTACTACAGAGCTTTATTCTGTCACAAGAGTAACCACGGTCCAGGCAGTCACATCCGAAAAACACATAAAAGGTTCCGGAGTGCACAGCGAATTCGGCACTCTCTGCTACTTCATGCTGCTCAGCGCGAAACTGTGCACAGAAAACAAGTAATTGCTTCGGTTTTTAGTTCGGAAAAGGGCAAGCGTCAAACCCCGTCTACACCAACGGCGATAAGGCATTGCCGAATTCCACTGGAGTAGCCTAGGACGCGCTGAATGTCAAAGTAGGCGGCTGATGGCACATACCGAAATAAAGTGCACCAAAAAATTGGATATCTCATCAGTTGTCCAAAATATCAAATTGGAGATTTAGTTGCTGGTGCACAAGCAATGGAAGAGGCTGTACTACGACGATGAATTCAACATTCTACTCACTCAAATGAACAGACTTTTCGTGCACCCGGAGACAATGCATTCGAGTAAAAGTTTTATCACAGTAATTGCATTTGTGAGGTCGCTCATCTGGAACGAAAAAGGAGAGTTTGACAGTTACAAACAACACGAAGAAATGTAAAAGCAAAAAGGTAAGTGGTTGCAGCGAACACATTCAGCAGTTGAGCAAACGATAAGAAATAGAATACAAAGGGTCGCTCTTTAATTGCACAACAAAGGTTCAGTTTGCACTATTCAACTAAACTGCATGACATTAAAGACGTGATCGGAAACCAAGTACACTCCACACTTTCACATCCGTTACAACACGTTGCCAACTTAACATACGAATCGCTCATTCACGTTGATGTGTCCACTCCAGGAAGCCGAGTTTAACATTTTTCATTGATGATGGCACAATGCCGAGTGGGCACAAGTTACCATAAAGTCACACGGAAAATCAGTCAACGTTTCTTTCGGTGTCAATTTGATCTAAAGAGTCCAGTTAGACAGTACCAATTGGAAACAAGTAAAGCGAAACGCCGAAACCTCAGGGGGCCTCGGCAATGTCAACGAAAGATTGCGCAAAACAGTGGACTCTCTTCGGCTATTGCGTCAAAGCAATGAGAAGAAATAAGTTGCGATATGTCTCAACATTTCCTTTGTTCCCAGCGGTTGCAAACACAATACAAGCAGTAAGATAAATGGAAAAGTTGCCAACGTCAATCAAAAAGACAATCAGGACAAATGTAACCTAAATGATTAATGTGCCATTTGCACGCGCCGAGTTTACCTGCTTCCTACTATCTGATCGATCTTACCGGAATCACTACGTGTCCGTTAAACGCCAATCCGTCTAAGAATTTAACCGTATTAATTTGCGCCAGCCGTTCTCTTTCATGCGAGACATGATACATTTCGCGTAGTGTCGAAACTGATGTCTTCTACTGTCCCGCAATACGAGCTGAATACTGCGTGCTCCGGAGAGTTGTAGTTTCGTGCGGGTCGACTTGCAACATTGGTGATGGGGATCAAATTTGGAATCAATTGCTAGGATCCAGCTTGCTCCATCAGAACAGTTTTGGAAGGATGCGTTTCTTAAGTAAAATTAAGCGTCGGAAGAGAACCTTGTACGATTACCCTGAGCTATTTTCAAGTAAAATAATTACATCAGTCAAACAGTCAGTCAGTCACATCGGTCAAACTCTTGAGAGAGTATCTTGGTGCAGAAGATCAAGGCATTTAGATGCACCGTGTGTGTGTGTACAAAAACACATCTCTGTCGGATACGTGTAACGAATTCGATTACCTTTGGGGACCGCGGCAACATAGAGACACGCCTGAGGCACACAGTTACGAAAGGGAAAGGAGGAAAGTGTTAGTGGATTCGTCAGCCGTACACAACAATCCCTTCCAGACCGCCGTTATAGTGAAATAACTCCCATGAAACTTCACGAAGCAATGGTCATTCGGCGCCTGTTGGCTGGAATCCGGGACGAAAAAACAATCCAAGCAAATCTACTTTAGGGTACGCACACTGAACGTTCCCAAAATGAGCCGTTTTGAGTTTAAGACGTGGATAGGGGACAGTTTGGTGTCGGCTTATCCCGATATGGTGACGTGTAATTGGTATAGCGACGGTTTTAACAGAGCGCGTGGAAGCATATATAAATATATAAATTAAAAAGAATATATATACGTGAATAATCTATTAACTTGCACACGTTGCTTACGCTAATTGCGCTTAGCTTCACTAACTGTATTGCGTTTTTAGCACTTCTGAGTAACTTCTGAACAATTTGCATTTGTCGCTCATTCGTTGCTAACCAACTTACTTCATATGCTAATTTACCGAATAGTTATGCCGCCGTATCTGTATGCATTATCCGATTTGTTTTATTTCATCTTGTCGTTTCAAGTGATTGGCTGTTGCTTGATATCCCCGGTGTGGCTGCGTTTAATGTGCATGTTGACAAGGTGCCTACCTGTCTAATACCCACTACCTCGTCCATACTGCCTCCAGGAAACAGTTGGTCGTTGCTGGAGGAGACGGGGTTCATGGTCCTTATGGTCATGCTATGCTTAAAGAGTGGTTCCATGCACTCAGTGTGGAGCGGACCACGGTCCAACCACCGCCTTGTGTGCACTTGATTCCCCAAATACAGCGCTCTTGTGTTTGCTTGTGAAGGAGTGTGGGCCGGCTTCATTGATGAAACGTAGCTCCCTTCCACTTGCCTCCCGGCCTTATTCCTTCGAGTTTACACTGGATATGGAGCGTATGGTTGGAACTGTGGGTGCTGCAGCGCAAGTCACCCATGGTCCCTTTGTAGGCGCAGGCGCCCTGTGGAGGCCACAGCGACAGGCAAATCCGAAACTGGATGCTGTCAACCATATATATATATATATATATATATATATATATATATATATATATATATATAGTGATCGCAAAATAAGTGGGTGCACCGTACTTAAGCACCGCTCTTATCATGGAAGAGAACAAAAGGGTGGCAATCTCTTCAGACCAAGCGCAGAAGCTGCGTCTAAGTGCCTAAAGCAGGCGTAGTGCGTTCGCATACAGTCTGTTGGTATTGTCGACAGACTTCAGCTCACAGAGTGAGTGTACGCCTAGATCCTTCACTGGTGGGATGTGGCGGGTGGCCGGCCAGGGTGTACTCACGCCCATTAGCACCCATCCACAGGCTCATAAATGAGGACTTGGCTGGATTGACCGGTAGGTCAACTTCTGCAGACTACTGGCATAGGCGGTCGAAGTCCTACTGAAGGACGTCCCAGTCGCCGGGAGAACCAATGATCCTCCAAATCTTCAGGTCGTCTGCAAATAATGCGCAGGGCGGCTGAAGGAGCTGTTACTTTGTTGATGTGGATCAGAAACAAAATGGGCCCCAGTACTGTGTCTTGGGGTACGCCGCTAGTGGACGGGTACCATTCCGTTCGGTGGTCATCCACCTGAATCCGCCATCTTCTCCAAAGAAAAAAGTCACTGATCCACTGGTGCAGTGCGTCACCAACACCACACGTCCTCAGCTTGTGGAGCAGGACCTCATGGTTCACTTTATCGAAAGCTTTTTGCTGAAATCAATGTAGATGACATCCAATGACTACCCCCGGTTCAATATTTACAACCATTCCTGCCGCGTCAACCAAAGTTTCGTGATGCACGGTCGGCACTTTATGAAAATATACTGTGCCGGCGTTGGGAGATCTTTGGACTTTGGAGATGAGCCTTTTCACAACATTCTCGAGCATCTTCGCCAAAACAGAGGTGAGACAAATCGGCCGGTAATTGTTCACATTGAGTGGGTCACCACCTTTGGGAATCGGCTTCACTACTGAGTATTTAAAGTCGTTCGGCAATGCACCCTCGGACAGCGATCTGTTGAACAGATCCGTCACGGCAGGCGAGATGATAGCCGATAAGGAGTTCAAAATTAGCGGGTGAAGTAATTTGGATCGGGAGGTTTCGTGCCGTCAAGACTGGTGAGTAGATTGCGGACATCTTCTACATCGCAATCCCGACTCTCGAGTTCAGTAGGGGCTACACACGTCGAGCTCGGCATAGGCGCATGCCCACTTGTAAATACGGAAGTGGTGTTTCGCCAATGCAGACACACGTTCAGTGTTGATAACAGACTGTCCGTCAGTACCCTCTAAAACGGCCACGTCACTTGTGGACCTCAGGCGCTGTTTCATGTAAGCAAAAATCTTCTTGGGGCGGTCTTCGCTGAGGTTGCAAGCAAAAGATAAACAATCCAACGTTTGGTGAATTCTGCGTCACAACGCCCGGAAGAACCGACATCGAAGGATCAAAAAGCGACGTCCATATGCACGCTTGGTCGCCACAAGCCAGTTATCCCTGTAGTAACTTTACTGGCACGCTTCAAACTCGGAATAACAAATGCAAACAGATCGATAGGCCACACTTTCACGGTCTGTACTCTTGTTGAAAATCCAAATCAAGTAAGCTTTTGCCTTTTTACTCCATGCCAGGTTTCTGCCTTGGCCGAGGCCATTTTGGGACACCTGTGTTACCATTTGACAGACGTACCGTCCAAGTCATACTCCCGCATGACATTGTCTTCAGAACGGGTCGTAAAGCACCATCAGAGTCCAACACCAAGGCCATTGCCATAACCAAGACACCAACTCCCGCAACCTACGTCACGGACGTCAGCATGAGCTTAACACCAAAATTTATTCACCGTTTTACTGAATAAGCAAAGAAAAAATGACGGGGGTGGTATTTCATTGACTGCTCCGAAGGACCTCGCTCTCACTACGACTACTGCGTATGGTTTGCACGCAGCGCGGAGGAGTTAAAGCATATGACTAGTGCTCTGGTTTCGACAGCGGCCAAATTCGGGCCCACCATGAACACAAGGAAAACTGTTTGTCTTTTTCAGCTTTCAACGGAAGTGCACTCTGCAATGGTGCTGCAAACCAGCATTGGTGATGAAATAGTAGGAACCTCCTCCCGCTTCTGCTGCCCTGGGAATGTGGTTTCGACTGACTAGCAGCTAAACAGTGAGCTTCGTATCCGTGTGTCGAAGGCAGCGATGACATTCAGGAAGCGAGAGTACCGAGTGTGGAACAATCATCAGCTTACCGTCTGCTCGAAGGTGATGATGTACAAATCCATGGTGCTGTCCGTTCTTCTATACGGCAGTGAAACGTGGACGATGTACCGTCGAGATGAGAGAAATCTCGAGCAGTTTCGTCAAAAGTTTCTGCGCATCGATTGGTGCGACAGAGTTGCAGACACGGAGGTGTGCAGTGAACTGCATACCTTTGCTGAGACACCTGAGGTAGCTCGGTCATGTGTGGCGTATGGATTCGATGCGGATACTGAAGCAGCTGTCCTATGATCAACTGAGTATTGGGAAGCGGTGTGTGGGGAAACGGAAGCATCGTTACCAGGACATGATCAAAGTAAGGTTATGACGTTCTAATGTTGATTTCATGTCATTGGAATTGAAGGCAGTTGATCGGCGTGCATGAGGCTATCTGATTCTAAAGGCAGTTGCCGAGGTGCAGGAGAAATCCCTCGAGCATGCGGAGAAGCGGCAGGCACCGATGGTGTGTACTCCATCGATGTTGAGCGCATGGTGCTGTAGCACATACGGTCGCGAGCGTCTGTCAGACAGGCCTAGTGAGCTACAAGCGAGGCCACTTAGAGTAAGCATCGAAACAACGAAGGGTCCTGCTGAGAACGTAAGCAGAAACGGCGCCGCATTCGATTTACTAACCGCGTGCTTGCGTGCTGAATTGCTTTATTTCAGGTGAATGGTTTACTTTGGTTTGATACAATGTATTAATGCCCTATTTTAATGTCTACGAATGATTGGCGGCATCCGATTCCAGATTTGCCTATCACTGTGGTCTACATAAGACAGCCACAGGACGTCTGAATAATCTTCTAGTTACTTGCACAGATCGCTTAATCAAAGTGGTCAACCGCGCTAATTTTTCTCGCGTTTGTTACGTAAGCTTTTTTGATCTGAAGTCAGAGTAAGCGAACATCTGTTTTCGATAAATCATCTTCAGGCTTATACAATTATATGCAAAATCGAAATCAAAATGTAGACAGACATTATAAGTCGTTACTAGTGGAGCGATTCACTTGGATGCTGACAGCGCTGTCTGTTAGGCCACAACAATCGACCGCGTTTGGCCTCGTGGGTTAGAGGTCACCGGCCGTTTGGGCCACGGTAGTTCCAAGCCTTTAGTTATCTTCTTCTGAACACAGCTCCGGTTCATACAGCCTGATCGCAATTGCTTCAGCGGCTTCTAGTAAGCGCTTACGGACGCAGTTCGGGCGGTGCTTTGGGGCCTGATAGATTAGTTTGAATGAATCGTTGAACTTTGTCACGTGTCCTGTATCGGCTAGATGCGTGGCTATTGATCTCATTTTCTGGCACCCTGAATTTCTTGCGGATTTATTAATAACACATTTACTTCACATGGTGATTTAGCGAAGAGTTATGTCGACATATCCGTACGCTTTGTATGATATTGTCATTTGAAGGGATTGGTTGTTGATTGATACCCCCGATGTCGCTGCGCTTGATGTGCATGTTGACAATGTGCCTACCTGTCCATCACCCTGCGCCTCGGTTACACTGTATCCAGGAGACAGTCGGTCGTTGCTAGAGGGCACGGAGTGCATGGTGCTCGTGGTCGTGCTAGACTCGAAGAGTGGTTCCATGCAGTCAGTGTGGGGCGCACTACGGTCCAGCCACCGCCTTGTATGCGGTTAATTCCCAAAATACAGTGTGCTTGTGTTTGTCATGAATCCTAGCTCAACCGAAAACATGTAGGTGTAGTGTCCGGGTGCTGGCTGGATAATCCCCTGGGAGCTCGTTCTCTAACAAGCAAGAACACAGATCATACAGACAAATAAATGCGAATGCGGCACGTGTGTCTATTAATGTGACGTATGTGAGCTACTGGTATGATGCAAGCGGTACAAAGAAGCTTAACTGGCACAGTCAACTGCAAACTTACTCGAATGAACAGCTTTGAAGTGTGTTCGCATAGTGAAGTCAGAGACAAACGATTTACCACAATGCTCACATGTACAGGATCGTTTCTCTGGAGAAGGAAACCGAAATTGGTTAGCTGTAGTTGTACTTCACAAAGAAAGCTGTCAAGGAATAGCGAAGGAATCGAGGGCATGGGTGTGTCTAGGTCGTACCATTATAGAAGTTAAGCAAAACAATATCTTACAGTGTACGAGGATGGTGTAACATGGAAAAGACTAATGCGAAGCGTGCATCGGCAAGAGTAACTCTGCATCCTAATATTATGTACGATCCGATATATCCAAGTATAATTTCCGCAGTCTACGAATAGACATTGACCCATTAGAAACTACAGAGATCAAACGAAGACAGATGCCGAAAGATAAGACGGAACACAAATAAAAGAAATCCATGGTTTCAATGAGGGGTACGATACTACCAGGCTGTCTCAGTCTAAGTAGGGGATCGACTTGGAATGGTCTCCCACTGTCCATTAGATCATGTGTTCCGTGTGTCGATGGATGAATTTCTCACAAGTGCAAAATTTTTGTGAAACAACAAACTTAATACTTCAGAGGTCAATCACAAGGGACCAAGCACTGTATGTCCGTACCAACTCTCAGTTTCATAGTGAAAGATTTAACTTTTTACCACAAAAGCAAACAAACAAGAAAACACAGAATTTCCATGCCCACGCTTGCAACCCTCATCACATTCTATAATTACCCGGCCATATTAACCTCAAGAGAGCCAGGTCAATATGGTGGTTCAAGGGGGAAGTTATTCCGAGTCCTCATCTTCATTCATCAGACCCGTTATAATCTTTCTTTACTCGACGACACATGGAAATCAATGAGGGGATGGATAAACCGAGTGCTCGTTTTCCCATCATCGAGTCCCAGCAATATCCTTACTACTACAAGTCATTCATGTCCACACGTAGAAGATACAAATGCATATCCGATCTCTTTTACCAGATGACTGTCACACACATTGTTCGTTTCCAATTAGTTTGCAGCGTACTCTCATTCCGATGGCTATTGGATTCACAGATATAGACATACAAATGAAACACAAACCCACTAAAAAGTAAGGCAGTAAACATTTAGATTCGCGCTTCCTTAAACCAGTTTGTGAGTACCACATCCGCTACGGATTGTGAAACGTCAGTAGGCCCACTGGCGATCTAGGGGAACACAGGTCTGACGAATTCCAATGAAGCACCATAGTTGACTGAATAGTCAACGTACATATATGCAGTACTTGTTTTTACTCATTGTACATCGCTAAACACATCCTTATAGACATGTACCATACATACACATCAAGAACAAATTGGAGTCGTTAACACTGGCATTAGCAAAATCGGTTTTGCCTACTTGTATATTGGCTAACCAGTTCACTGTCTAGTTTGTTCCAAAAGTGACCCTTCCCCTCTGACCCGTAACATTACTGCGAAAAAACCTTCGAATACGTTCGGTTGATCCAGGTTATGCTTCTATACAAAGAACGTTGGTGAACAGATCCCGCTACATGAAGAATTACAACAGCTGGTCTAACTCAAGCGGATCCGTATGCAACGTTCCGTTGAATGAAAACAGTAGGTAGAGCGATGGCGTGCAACTGAGCGAAACTGTTCCCCAGCAATACAAAAGCCTCGGCTGATTAGTGACTAAACACTCGTCCATACAACTATCACTTTACATCGCAAGCCAAGTAGCTGCAGTCAAGCCAATAATAAACAATACTACTCTGTCATACTAGCGGAAACTGCCAGCAAACATGCGACTTACACAGCGCTTTTCACGGGACTGACTGTCAATGTTAGTGACAAGTGTTTCGCCAAATGGAGAGCACACATAAATTGTCTATTTACGCGAATAGTTAACCATTTGAGACCCCTCTGTAAGACTGCATCGGATCAACAACTTAGGCAGTATGTGCAAAGTCCAGAAATAAACGAATAATGTGTTTAATCATTTCTTCAATTATTTAGTACAGCAGCGGTCCCACGAAGCTGTGAAAATCATAATGGATCCCACAAACAAAACGAAATGCCTCACTGGGAACTCATCGTCTCCAATAGCTGACCAGCGATGGACCCAAAATCATCATGTTGCAGTTACAGGGGGCGCAGCTCCACACTGAATTGTCGATCGTTCCGGATTCCTGGCGTCGACTATGATCATGCCTTGGTACGCTGTCGTTTTTCCATGAATTTATACCGTGGAGTTCCAAGCGCCTCTCTCAATTGGCAACTGTTATCTCAGTCTTCGATCAAGTATGCCTAGCAGCACGCCCGAAGTGCTGAACTTACGATGTCTTATCCAAATGACACTGAGCTTCATTCAAATAGGATCTCGACCATCGTGCACGAAGCAGGAGCCTCTGCTTACGGCACTGTAAATCCTCACCGCCTAAGTCACTGGATATTCGACAGGTCGATGAAACTGTTGCAATCCAGAGGAAAACACCAAGCAGGCTTTCAGCACAATGTGACCAGATGGACTATTAGGTGCGAACTAAATAGGAGCCTGCGTGCTGACAAGGAAGCGTGGTGGACCAGTCGGGCTCGAAAAAATGGAAGTGGAAACAGTAGGCAATTACCGCAAGCTCTACCAGCTAATCTGCACAACTGGTCACAGGAAACCGGGCGTCAATGAAACAAACAGAGGCGGTGCGCGTGCCCTGATTTACAATGAGGAGCGCCCTAAGATCTGCTGGTCGCAGCAGTTTCGAGATCACCTTTTTTGGACACCTGCCTATGCACGCAGGCTGAGGACCCCAAAGCGAACACAGCTCCCAACTGTCTTCGAGCTGTTCACCCGGATTCCCTCGAACCAGCACACTTTGTCCATGGAAGTTAGAACCTCTGCAAAGCACTGACCTCACCGCTGGAACATATCTGGAAGGAGGAGAGCATCAAGCTCAACAGCAGTGGACTGACTATAGTGACAATATGCAAGAAGGGCAGTTACACCGACTATGCTAACCACAGCGGTATTAGCCCAAGGACAATTGTGACAAAAGTGGTGTCCTCAATTCTCTTTCGTCGCTGCATTGCAAACGGAGATCTCGGATAGGGGAAAAGCATGAAAGCTTCCGTCCAGGATCTCAGTCGCCATGGTAGATGTAGGAGCATCTGCTTACGGTATTGCACCAGTCACTGGATTTCGGGAGATCTGTTAATCTGTTTGAATAAAGCAAAAAACTGGCTGACTCTGAGCACAATGTGAGTAGACGGACTAATAGGCGCCAAATAAAGCGGAGCCTGCGTGCTGTCAAGTAAGCCTGGTGGACCAGTCAGGCCTTAAAAAAAGGAGGCAGGAGCAGAAGGTAATTTCCACAAGCTCTTCCAGCTGATCAGCTCCATGGATCTCAAGTAACCAGGCTGTTAGTGAGACAATCAGAGACAGCGCGGGTGCACTGATGCACAATGAGGATCGCAGTATGGCTTGTTGGCCGGAACACTCAAGATCAGTTCAGTTGAGTCCCTGCTCCCGGACGTCTTCCTAGCCAGGTGATGCAGGGCGAGCCATTAACGGTTAATTTAGATGCGCCATAGGAGACTGAGATCCGAAACGCGATTGCAGCCCTCAATCCGTTTCTTGCTGCTGGACTGGTCCTCTGCGAAGCACCGTCCTCCCTATTCGAACATATCTGGAAGGAAGAGAACGTCCAGACTAACAAGAGTGAATCGATTATGGTGGCACTATTCAAGAGGGACAGTCGCACAGACTGTACTGACCACAGGGGTATTAGCCTAACGTCAGTTGTGACAAAATTACTGGCCTCACTTCGGAAGAGCGATCCCGGATTAGGGAAGCGCAAGCAGGATTGTGTCTAGAAGGGGCTGCATATCTCATATATTCAAGTAGCGGCCAATGACAGAGCAGCGCCACACATACCGTAGACTATGAATTGCTGTGTTCCTGGACTTCAAGAGTGAGTTCTACTCAGCTGATTAATTGATACTGTTCGATAAAGTTGCGCGCATAGGTGCTCCCACGAAATATGTGAACATGTTGAGTGCTTTATATTTTTTGACACGACAGCGCGCGTAAGGGTGACTTATAAGGTGACTTATAAGATGTCTTCCCGACAACAAATGGAGTTAGTCAGGGTTGTCCGATTTCCTCATTTTCGTTCCATTTCATCGTGGACTCCATCATGCAGTGCTCTCTTGCAGAATACCATGATGCAGGCGTCAAGGTGTTAAAAGTTGGTACGAGTCTCCTAGTGGGATGAACGAACGTCAGACAGAATTGCATCCCGCACGGAAAGCAACTGACAGAATTCGATTTCCCACAACCCGGGAGACTTGGGCCCAAGACGGTTCTAAGCACATAACTGAAACGTCTCTTAGACCGAGCACAGACTTCACACGTGACTCCGACACAAGAGAAATAAGAACAAGGGAGAGGTTCTTCGCCCCAGGCACGTTACTCGCCAGACAAAGCAATTGCAGTCTAACCCTGCCTTGTTTACACACAACGACTGGTGAAATGGGATTTTAACGTAGAATGGTAACCAAGCCCTAATTAAGCAAACTGACCATTGGGACACTGAAGGAAAATGAATGTCAGTAAGTGAAAGTCAGCGAATTGGCAAAAGGTCAATAACGAAATATGCTCTGACTGAATGTCGATAATCGATGGGGCTTGGTCGGAAAGGTTTCTTACGTGCGGGGCTGAGCGGAACGTGGTTTCGCCTGAGGTCTTTTCGGGACGTTCGGTCCCTATTATATAAGGTGTAGCCTGACTATGCGAACGAGGTTGGGGTGGCGGCGCAATCAAACCATAATAATATTTCTAGAGTGGTAACATCAATCGGCATGCCCTTCGCACCTTCAAAGTGCAAAGTGTGGTTGCAGGACCACCAGCCAGTTGATGGGCACTTAACCCTTGATAGCGAGGAAACGGTTAGTTGATCTATTCACATACCTTAGCTGATACATCCAACATGATGTGCGCTTAGGCACTGAAGTCAATTCAAGTATTGCAAAAGCTAGAAC